GTTGAAAAAAAAAAAAAAACAACAACAAAAAAACATCCCTGCCCTCATGGAGCTTGCTGATCCTAGCAACAAGCCTCTGGCATAGCTGTTTTCAGTATCTCTTTACCCTGTACGCGAGAAACTGCAGCTTGCTGAGGGGAGGGCTGGTGGCAGCTGTCACAGAGCAGGGGGTGGGGGCCAGGGCCAGGGCTCCTAACGGACAGGCTAGCAAACGTGCTGACTGCTTACTCATGTCAACGCTGCCAGGCACTGTTTTCAACGTTCTAGGACATGTATTAACTTGTGCAATCGTCAGACCAGCTCTGCAAGGTGGAATTACCGTCCCCATTTTACAGACAGGTTCTCTGAGGCTCAGAAGACATTTAGCTGAGTATTACACAGCTGGCTAGTGGCAGGGCTTGTATTCAGACACGGTACATTCTCTGAGCCCCCCGGCCAGCTCTGCCACACAAAGGAGGCCAAAGACCTAAACTTTATTGTAGGGATGTTTCTCTAACTGTTCCAAAAAGGTAAATGAAAAAATATAGGTAGGACAAGACATTTTCTTCTGCTTTAGAAATAAGAGTAATAATAATAATAATAATAATAATAATAATAGCAAAAACAGCTGCATTTCCATGTGAAGCATTAGGATGCTAATAAGTTTCAAGGCGCTTAACTTTATTTTCTCACTTAATTCTCAAGATACTGTTGCAAGGCAAGTGTTATTTTCAATTCAGGTATATAGATGAAGAAACTCTGGCTCTGACACATTAAGTAATTCGCTCAGGAGTCTAACACATACATAAATAGATGAGCCAAGACTCAAACGCAGCCCATCGGACGCAAATTCCTCCAGCAGCCCATCTATTGTCCTGCATACCATAGTTCATGTCCCCGGCTCCCTACCACTGGCTGGACAATGAGGGACAGGCAGATGGAGACCCAATGTCTGCAGAGATTTTTTCTTTTAGGGCGAGTTAAAGGAGGGAAAGGCTGACAGGTGACCACCAACTGAAGTCTATTTTTGTTCCCCAGCATATCTGAAGCAGAAGCAGGCACTTCAAGAAGCAAAATGTGCTCACTGAAATTAATTTTGCACTTCCATTCTAAAAATTGAAAATTGGAACTTAATCTATTAATTTTATTTTATTTTATTTTATTTTATTTTATTTTATTTTATTTTAGCATCTGTAGAAACTGAATCTGGATGTGATGTGGCTTGTCCATAGTTTGCAAACATGGCTGGTCAATTAGCAAGTTGAAAACCCAGGTCTTCAAAGCCCTAATGTGACACAGGCTCAGGAGGAGGCCCAGAGCAGTCCTGCGCAAGACCTGGGCAGGTCCTTAGGTGCTTTTACTGAAACATTAGGGTCGGAAGACGTGTGATTGCATCTTGTCCCACTCTCACAGAGAGGGGAATGGAGACTCCTTGACTAGAATACTCTGCACCCTGACATCTTCTTGGCTTCCTCCCTCACCCCTTCTAGTCTGCTCACATCTCACCTTTGCATGAGCCCCACCTGGCCACAACCAACCTCCATTTACCTGCTCTCCACATGCTCCAAAGCTCCCACACTTCACTCAACATTTTCTTCTGCCTGCACCACTTACCGTTTTTGAACGCATTACATAAGTTACTTATTTTTATGTTGTTGCCTGTTTCCCCAGTAGAAAGGAAACACTCTGGAGGCAGGACCTGTGTCTGGTGCATTCACTGACACACCCCAGGCACCTAGAACAGGGCCCGGCTCGTGTCGGCACTCAGTGAATGTTTGTGGAGTGAACATTTCTGCCGGTTTGTTAGTTTGGGGCCTAAAGTTCCCATTCCCTGTTCCAGCACATCTTCACGGATCAAACAATGAGGACGAAGCATGGGGATTCTCGACATAGGAAGGCGATACGTTCTTACGGAAAACTGTTACTCTTATTTAAGATGACATATTCTATTACACTATTCCCAAGGAAATTTTAATATCTATTTGAGGTAAAGAAAACTAGTCGTCACCACAGTCCCATTTTAGAGAGGAGTATAAGAGATTTGATTGGGAAGCTGGTCAATTCAATATGTTTCTGGGTTACTTGCATATTCTACATTTTAAGTTAGTACCAATCTCTGTTGCTTCTGAAAATTTCATACAACGACCTCTGGGCTCATGGGGAATAACTGTAACTATTTCATAAGAGACTGTGAATTTTTACTTCACTTTGAGTAGCAGCAAGGTTCACATTCGGTGGCAAGAATTTGCTTCTAACACTATATAATTAAAATTATTTATAGAGAAAAACGCAAGAAGATTTGTATTTGAAAATATTCAGGCTCTATTTGCCATATCTAAGAATGAACTAGAAAGCTGAAGCCACCCAGATGTCAAATATGTAGCTAAAGAAAGAAAAAAAGTCTTTAAGGCTCTCATGTATGTAAAGAGCAGAATATCATCTCTGGCCACATTCAAGTACACTGCCCTGGCTACGTGGAGTGCCTGTTGCCATGGAAACAAATTAAGGTGTCTGAGATCCCACCAGTTCATACCATACCTACAATACTGTTCCTATATATATATATATATATATATATATATATATATATATCTTACCCTGTTGTAAAAGTTGTATATATATTTTAGAGAATGTTTGGAAAACAGAACAAATACTTTCAAAATCACTAAGAGCTCCATCACTGTCCCAATTCACTGTTGGCAGTTTTCTCTGCCCCTCAGTGTCCTGTATACATGGAGAACCTCCTGGTTCTTGAGTCTCTACCAAATGAGGCAGACACCTATCAATCAGATCTCAAGAGGTCTGTGGAGAGCTAATATCCCTCACCTGCCACTTTCCTCTTTCTGGCTGAGATGGATAGGGGGAAATGAACTTGTACTGATTTGCACGGCTCTGTGTGCAGAGGGCTCCCTAGCGCTACATACGTGAATCACCTAGAAGCTTGACCTTTCCAGGTGAATTCATCTACAGCAGACTACAGATTTGTAAACACTCCCTCAGCCCCCACTGGCAGCCTCTCAATGTCACCTGGAGAGACCGGTGGTTCCACAGGTGTTCTGGCATGATGTGGCAGCTGTTCAAGTCAACCCTTTCTCTTTCTTGTTGAGTGGAGGCCGAAGGAAAGGAAGCAGGTGGAAGACAGCTTACCTGAGGGTACAGCAGCAGTGCCGAAAGGTACAGAACTAAACATGTCTGCACTCGCCGGGAGTGTCTGAGATGAAGACGGGATAAAGGCATCACCTGGAGTTGCAGGAGTCTGTTAGACAGAGAGAGGCAGAAGGTGCATGAGGCTCCCGGGAACCCTGGTGCAGCGGCCATCAAGGATGGGGAGCAGCAGGTGCAGGAAATAAGGGGCAGGGGATGCTGCAGAAGCAAGCCACGGTCCAAGCCACGTATATGGTATGCAGACCACAAGGTGGTTGTACGTAGCAACCACAGAACAGGAAAAATGATACCTACCTATAGAGCAACTGTGATAATTAAGTGGGACCATGCATTTAAGTCACTGAATGCTGAAGCAATAGCAGGTGCTCAGCAAAGAGTGGTCAGTACCATGACCCTTTAGTCATAATATCTGGCTTTCATCCTTTAGGGGTGGTCAAGGTAAACTGACAGGCGTCCACTCAGGACCTACTATGTGTCTCGTTCGGGGCTTGTCACTTAATACACGATAAATAAACAGCTTGTCTAAATGAACAATCAAGCTTAGTGACTAGAGCAGAGACCCTTGTGTGCTGGTGCCTTTCAAGAATTCTGCCTGAATCTCCACGTGTAAAGAGAAGTAAACATTTTCAAGAAGATGATAAAAAACAAAAACAAAAACAAAAAAACAACAAAAAACCCACAACAACAACAACGCCTAAGGAGGTGCAAATGCTCAAGTGCCCAGCCTATGCTGGCATCCGAGAGAGGTCTGGCGCATGAGCTGCTGGCTAAGGTGAGGTGTGCCGAAATAAATCAAATGAATCAAGTAAATCAAAGGGGTACTGAGGGGTACTGAAAGAAAAGCATTAGCCCTCAGGGTTTTAAAGGTCCATGCCCATTTACCGCAGCCTTTTGCCTACAAAGTACGCCTATTCCATGCCATGACATCCTTATTTTTCTTTTCCCCTTGGAATAGACTGGGGCAAGCAATTAATCCTGAAACCACAGCAATTAGACAAGGCCATTTTTAGAGCAGCAGCCTCGGGGAGGAATGGCATTGTTCTGAGGATTTTTAAATACCCATTTGTAACGCACTTGGGTTCGGGGCCAGAAACATAGCCATGAGCTGCTGCAGTAAGCACTTTTGAACACAATCAACGCCCTGTTGTTTCCCACACGTGACCCTGGGTGAGTCACATGTCCTTTCTGGGACTCAGTTTGCTCATCTGTAAAATGAAGGGAGGTTAGAAGATCTCTTCAGACCTTTCTGGCTCCACAGCTTGAGTCTCTAAGTGCCCAAGATGCAGCTGTTGCCCCTGGGATGGAGGAGAGGAGACTGCCTCCCTGGAGACAGGAGCTGCTGTCCCCACTGTCACGGCTGCTCTGGACATCAGGTATCGGGAGCAAGGCAGCTGTGTCTAGAGTCCCAGGTGGCAGCTGTGGGCAGCAGAGTCTCGTGCCATCTGTCCTCAGTCATGAGGGTACATACAGCCTCTTCTCTGAGGCACATCTTGCCAATGAACCATAGCACCATCCCTCCGGCTGTACGACCGAGCAGCACCCAGAGGAGCTGCCCCCTCCCAGCGGCTGCTGCTGGTGCGGCTGCGGCCGACTGCCTTCTGCCCACCTCCCACTTCCGGGGAGTGGGCAGGGGAGGCTCTGGAGGGGCCATCTCAGCTCTATTCTTTGCTATGGCCACAGGGTTGCCTTTGAATGCAACCGGTTCTCAAAGCACTGGGATTCTATTTTGCTTAGGTTTTCATTTTCAAATTAGGGTTCCCAGCAGTCTCTGTCCCGTTGTAAGCAGTGACAAGCAATGGGAGACACGCCCTGGCTGAAACTAGAGCTGGGACTCCAAAGCTTCATGAGAAGCTCAAGGAAGCTAGAAGGCAGGTGGGAAGTGGAGGGGCGGGGGATGAAAAGAAGAGGGAGAGCCGATAAAGGAAGAGACAGGAAAAGACAGAAAGGGCCAGGGCAGAAGGGGCTTCTTTTACTGGGCTGACCACCGGGCTGTGCGGGCTCTGGGTTGGCGCTGACGATGCCTCACTGCGTGTGCAGTCCTGTGGCCTTTCTTGCCCGTATTCCCAACTAGACCATGTGCCCCGTGCAGGCAGGGACTCATCCCGCTGACGCTGACGTCATTCTCCACTGCCCCGCAGGGCAGCAAGTACGCGCGGTGGGG